AAAGAAAGAAGACTAAAGGAAAAAGACTCCAAAGTTTTCAGGTAATGTTTAAAATGAGGCTGAGTCACTGAGTCGAATACAGCAGCAAAATGCTGATAATTTTTGTGAACTGACAGAGTCAATCATGAAACTTTGCTTTTTCTCTTCAGCATTTCTGCAACTTTCTCCTTTATGATGATATGTCATTTATGTGATATCTAAAATCACTGTTAAAGGGAGGCTATTGCTGCAGGTACTTTAAATCTTTTTGCAATGTTGATGTAAAATTAAAAGTAAGAAAATACAGAGTGGTGTGATATTGTACWTGCAGTAGTCTTTATAAATGTTTCCAAGTCAGATTTTCCAGTGAACAATGRCAAATAATTGCTTATCAACCTTTAAAATTTAACTAAATACTGTTATTACTGAATATTACATGGTTCAAACTGGCTGTTAACTCATCCATCTCCTTGTGCTCAGCCATTCCAGCATCAATACTCTTACTCCCACTGCCAACAGGAATTAAGTCCGATGAGAAGCAGTTTAAAATTGTTTTGCTTTATCTTTATGATTTAAATAAAAACCACGAGCCCAAATTTGAATTCTGSTGTTGGTTGCCAAATTCACATTGCTAATTCCTGTCCTGATTACAGATTTGACCTCACACTGAAATCTGCCTCAGCCTCTGTTCAGTTACCGTGGTCACAGACCATCTGCATTAGGCAGGCTGAATCCTGTACCTGTGCCTCTTTTCTCCTCTCCTTTTCCTACCCTTTCYGCCTCCTTCAGTCTTGAGTAATACCAGACATCTTTGAAGCAAGTGCTTTTAACACTAGGTAGGTATTTTCATTACTATCAATGTAAATAATTAAAATCAGAAATATTTACAGACTGCAAAAACTGACCTATAATCTCAGCAGGTGTAGTGCCCATTGGGAAGGGRAAAAGCCCAGATCAGGGCTGTGTGCCAATTCAGCAAGAACAAATACTTCACCTGGGTCTCCTATATTCCACATGAGCTGCTTAATCATCAAAGTRATGTATGTTCCACTTGTATGCTTTTCACCAGAATCTGCCTTTTTCCATAAAACATTGGTGAATAGTTTAGCTAAAGCAATACCATCRAGTGAAACAAGAGCAGACCTCTTCTAAGCAAGTCCTAGTAATGTGGACTAAGTGGGTTTGTTACCATCACTGTAAAGATTCAAAAGTAGAGATATTTACTTCTTTACACAAAAAATCCCTGGTGAGAATGTAAGGTGGTTTTCTCTGGGCATAAAACTATGTAAGTTTTAATTGGTACTGCACATCAAGGGACTGCTCCTGCTGACTGMAGTGACCCATAAAAACTAATCTGCCTTCATGCATCAATGAGAAATACTTAGCATTAATCATTAATTWGTCCAACACGCAGACCTGCTGAGCTGTCACAGTGCTGTAGATGGCACTTTCATGCCTTAAAGTTCAGGCAATGCACAAGGACTGTCAGTTCATTTGAGGCATTTGGCAACAACATTTGTCCAGGTTTTAATACAATSCCATGAAGATTGTATTAACAGTCATAGAATTATAGGGTTAGTAGAGAGATAAAGAGTTTATCTAGGCAATCTGCTCCCACATCAGCAGTGGATTGCCAGTTATTCCTGAGAGGGCYAAGCTGTGCTTTCAAGCCACCACTAGGAAACCAGTTTCCCCAGCAAGTTATCCGAGTCTTTCCTTAACGGTGGAAAGATTTTCTTGACCTTTAGGCTGGATCTTTCTTGCTGTGGTGTAAGAATATTGGTTTGTATTCTCTCCTCCAGGGACATGACAAATGGACCMTTCTTTTTCTTTCTGCAACATTTCATTTTCTGGAAGGTTATTTATCATGTTCCTATCCTATCCTTTTGCTACACAACCTTGTTTCTTTCAATTAGCTCTTAGAGATTTTTCTTAATCTTTTTCTGCATTTCTTTTATTTTTGGCAATATGGTCTTTATATGTCTTGAGGTGTAGTGCCTGGTACCTGTGGCTGACAGTGGAAGGCTTCATTCAGGCAGTTTGCAGGTTACCTTMCTGCTTATGCATCCAGGTATGGTGGCATCTTTCTTGATACATGAGATYGTGACTCATCTTCATGTAAATGTATGTAACAACCAGACTGTTTTTAAAAGAAAGGGCATCCAGCCAGTTGGCTTTGATTCTGTATTTGTACAGGCAATTTTTCCTGCATACATGTAGTAACTTACATTTTTTATTTCCTATTGTATTTTTGCTTCAGACCTCTTTTCAGACCAAGATAATTTTGAATTTAAATCTTTTCCAAAAAAATACTTGCAGTCTCTCTGATCTTAAGCTCATTCTACTGATGAGGTATTTACTGTATATTTTCATCAATAACCCATTTCCTTTGTTTGTTTATGATAATAGCATATTATTTGTCATCCATACACCTGTGAAATTATCATAATACACATTGGTCTGGCTTGGCATGACTCAACACACCTGTGTTGGCTGTTATTCCCACCCTTTTTATCTCCTTGATACCTAYAAAGAAAACTTAATTATGTGTTCCAGATTTATTCTTCAGAAAGTAAAGAYAAGTCATCTATGGTTCCATAGCTTCATCCCCCTCTTTTTTAAAACAGGTCTTGTATTTGCCCTTTTCTAGTGCTGTTCATACCTCACCTACTTTCTCTGACATCTCAAGAATAAGCACCTGATGGTTTCTTTTTCAGACCAGTTGCTTTATGTAGACATCTTCCCTCCTGTGTGTTCATCCTTCAACAATTCCTCCTGACTGATTACAACTCAACATAGAAAGCCTCTCTTCTAGAGCCTTTTTCTATCTCGTGTACCAAATCCACTCTAAGAAAAAAAGGATTTTAAAAAAATTTAGGAATCTCTTGTAACTCAGATGAAGTCTTGTCAAAGGAAAATGCTACAAATAATTCACATTACTTAAGCAGATGCAGAATATCATGGTTATCTCTAAATGGACTTTGATACTTTTGGATTGGCTTGTATCTAATCACTTCCAAATCATATTGCATTTAAAAGTAAGGCTAGTATTTACATTTAACATGCAAGTTCTTACGGCATTTTGAACAGTGGTTTTGCTGCAATAGTCCTTCTCTAAATTAACTATTCAGTCCTGCAAATTTTTCCTTGGTGAGCTGCCCCTAATCTCATTAAGATACCACTGCCCCCAACAAGGCATTTTTCCCTGAGTTAGTGGTTGAGAAATTTGGCCCCAATAGAAAAGATCACTGGAAACATAGCTGCATCCTGCTGTTTGTTCTGGCCTTGCTTTTACATTCTTCCACTCCATATTTTTGGGCTTAAGTTTTAGCTATTTGTTAGCAAAATATAACTTTCAGTACCTAGCTATGTTCAGAATCATGGTTTGCTGAGGAAATTGTTCATTACAGTCATCTCTAAAGTTTTTACTGTAGCTGCTTTTAGACAAAGTGTACAGGAGTGAGTAGTGTGGTGCTTTTTACTAGGAAAATAAGTATTTAAGTGTTCTGGTAATGTTCTGCTGCCATCTGAGAATATCTGTGCTTTTTCTCTTTTCTAGTTAAATATGACTTGTTAGCTTCCAGTGACAAACCTCATCCTGGCAACATCTAAACATTTACTTTATATTTGAGTGACTGTTCRTAACTTTGAGAACCTGTGACCACTTATTTCCTTAATCAATCATCATCTGCAGTGGATGGTTAACATTTACACTTGGTAGGGTTATATCAGTGCTAACAGCTTGCTGAAAGATGTCCAGGTGCACATCAGAGCACACAACCCCACCACTGTCAGTCTTGCAAGTCCCAATGTGAAAAAATGGCCCGGGCCACTCCTTCAGCAAGTATTTATGTAAAGCCAGGATGTCCATGTAGCATGTTCTGGGAAATGTTATTCCATGGGAAGGTCTCACATCAGAAAGGTCAGGCAACATCTGCCTCTATGAAGCTCAAGGGTCCCACATGCTCAGTGACACCACTGAGTCACTTCAGGACACATGTCTGGGAATGTTTGTGAAGAAAACTTGGATGTCTGTAGGGATGAGACCTTCAGTGCTAACCAGCAGGGAAACGGGGCTTTCTGTTGTATTCCTGAGGATAAAATGTAGCCTGAGGACTAAGAAACAGGTGGAACTCAATTTCTGTCRCACAGCAGGGTTTCCTCTGTCCTGCAACTGTCACACTGCAGTTCCCCTTTAAAGGAAAATTTTCAAATGGCTCATAATTTTATGTTACCTCCCTCCTTTGCAGTACAAGGAAACCTTGTCTGTTGAAGTCTCAGTCCAAGGTCTGGGGATGAGTTGGGTGGGAATAAATAACTGTTGTGGCTCTTTGCTAGTATTCTGAGTGCAAGGACAAGATCAAACAGCTGGAGGGAAACTATGGTGATGCCACAAATGAGAGTAGGAAACAAGAAATGGGAGGGGACGACCCATCTCCACGTGAGCTGCTAAAAAGGATTGAACAGGTAACGTCATTTCTCATATCACAAGCTATCCCATTGTGCTTGCCCTCTTTTAGAAAATGCAAATGGTGCCTTTTATTTTTAAAATAAACTTTCTGTAAGAGGAATTAAAAAAAATTATGATTGCCTATTGTGAACTCCAGCCCAGTGTCTGCTTTCCTGGTCAAMTGGACATGGGACATTTTGACTTCTTCCAGCAGAGGCCGGGGAGGGGGAGCTCTGTGAGGTAGCCCTGGCTCTGCAGCATCCTGTGCCGACCACTCAGTTCACAYCATTGGCACTTCAGTGCAGACCCACCTCACCAGGGGAAGGCACAGAAAAGGCGGCAGAGGGAGATAAATGCAGAATAATAAACTGCTAACAAATAGGGTGGTCAGYCTTTGATAGCCGGTCATGAGCTGTTCCACCGCTCTGAGTTGTTCTGTGGGCTGTGAGCAGGAGGCAGACCTGCCAGCTTCTTAGCAAAGTTGGCCTGTGTGACACAGAACCAAACACTGCCCTTTGTCAGGGCTGGGCTCTACTGCTTTGCTTCTCTGCCAAATGAGGAGCCACCGAACAGAGCTTGGTGGAAGCAGCAGCCAGGTCAGCCCAGCAACTGACACTTGACTGCAGCACTGCTGGCTGTCCCCAGACACTTCAAAGGGAAGCACTAGGTCCAATGGAAAGGCAGTTTCAGAGCCCTCTGTGTGGAGGGGAAGAAGGTAAAGGAACAGCATTTTCTGATATCGTTTTGTCTGTCCCATTTATAGAAGCACAAAACTCCTCCCATTGCATTCCGTGTTTGGAGAGGATTTGCAGAGGGCTCTGAAGGTGTGAGGGCAGTAGCACAAAGCTCAGAGCACACCTCAGAGTCTTTCTTTTGAAATCCTGTTTGTAAAGACAGACTCTGAACTAAGCTGCTTGAATTACCTGAGCATTTTGCTTCACTGTCCCGTATTCCTTGACAGGAGGGAGCTCTGCATAACCAAGCAGGCTATTACACCTGCTATCACCAGCCTGCACATTAAAAAGAAGGGTTTCTTGGAGTTTTCATGATAAGTTCAAATGTCCATTTCAATTCCCTCAGGATTTAGTCACTGTAGCTGTAATTTGTTTATGGAGTCCATACTTTTTTTTAGCATGAGGAGGGAAGAAGTATTTAAATCAAGAGCTGAAACCTTCCATTATGGTGTGACACAAGGAACCAGAATACCAAAAAAAAAAATTATGACTACAAAAAAGCCCCATTGCTTTCAAGAAAAGCACAGCAAGGCAGTAACCACAGTGTAACCCAAGAGGGCCAGGTCTGATATGGAAGAATTGTATGACTGGCAGTAACCAAATGAACGAATTTGGGCCTGATCCTTGGCAGAGAGGGTGTAAGTTTTGAGAAAACTCATGGTGAAGGTATTTGTTTATGGCTGTGCACCAGTTTATTTCAGCAGCTCAAGGCAATCACAGAACACTTCGTGCTGCAACTTCCCCTGTCCTTTCYTTACACCATGTCCTCCTTCTTGCTGCAGATAGAGGCAGAACTGTTGCAGAAGGAGAAGAGATTGGTGAAGATAGATTTTCTCTGCGAGGCCATTACAGATCTGACAGACAGAATCCGTACTGCGGCAGAGAACGCCAAGCAGAACATACTGCTGTTCGCTAGGAGGGTAAGAAGGGCACTGCACACTCTGCTTGSCAGCCTGTACAAAATGAAACAGTATCTGGGCAAGAGGTGATTCACTTGTGAATTACAAAAGTGGCTGGAAATGTTTATAGGCAAATCATAAGTTAGGATTCAGAAATTACAGATCCTTAGATGTTAGGTTTGGCACACATAAAAGCTTAAAACAGATTTTAACAATAGTTAGTTTTACACAGACAGAGAAATATCATGGTTGTTAACTGTGTTTGTGAAATTATGGCYATGGGCTAATAAGTTACTCTAAGGATGGCAGTGTGTCAAAAGTTGCATTCACAAGGGCTTTGACTCTCCCGATTGCTTATTAGTCACTTAAAGAGTATTAAAGTTGGGGTTTTTTTTTCAAAATCATCTCCAGTGAGACTCAAGGATTCCTGTAACATTCCTTTTCTGTTCATTCCCCTTCCAAGGATATTGTCACAACCTAGAGCCCCTGTATCAGCAGTATCACTCAGTTRTCTCATAGGAATTGGGCTTATTCCAGCTTTATTACAAAGTTAATTGTGCATAAACTCAAAGAGAGTTGGGATCCCAGGCCTTTGAGGGCTGGGGCARTTTTGCTGTCCAGCTGAAAAGGACAGGAAGCAAAGTCAAATGTGCATTTTTTTTCTTGTATTGGAGTAAATGTGACTTCTTGAGCAGCCAATTTTCTTTGGTTCTAAGTGATCACAAAAATTAAGTAATTTTCAAGTATTGAAGTACAGTTTAAAAGCTTGTCAACTTGGACTTATTTTCATGTGCCTAATGCTCACCCAAGTGTCATGCCCAGYGAATGCCTAAAGAGATATCCTAATTACAATGCAACTGCTTTGTATTCCAGACTAACGATCTGCAGAGGAAGGTAAATGACAAAACCCAGGAGATAAGGGCTCTTTTTGCAGAGTTATCCATGAAGCAAGCACTTGCCATTAGACTCCAGCAGGAAATTGGAGACAGAGAACAACTTGTGATGACAGCTTCATTGATGATAAGTCAAGGCCTTCCCCCTCCTAGTGAAAGAGAATGGTTGAAGAGCCTACACAATGAGAGGATGCAAAAAGCATCAGCTGAAGCCAGAGCAAAAGTAAGTTTTTGTCATATGTTACAGAGCTCCAGGAGACAGTTGTAGATGATGGAACAGACAAAAACCACTACTGAAGTAGGTCTGTGAAGTTTTAGCTCTGACAACACTGCTTAGAGCTGATCATTGAATCTTAAGGAGATCATATACTAAAAACCTCACCTTTGATTATTAAAGTARTTTGTGTGATTATGCTGTGGCTGAAGGGCAAGGCAGACATCAGTGGAATATTGCTTTTCATTGGATTTCAAGGCAAAGTTGCAAAAGGTGGAGTGTCAGGTTCAGGAGAAGTAGGTTTAAKGTCTCCCACATGTAAGATACAATGAGCATGAGATCAGAAGCAGCAAGAAAGCAGATTGCTGGGCAAGACACTGAGGGTAGGCAGGGCAGCATAGCAAACAGTGCTTCAACCCTACCCTGCTGGACACTGCCTCTGTCCTTGAGATGGTCAGTGATCCCAAAGCAGAGAGCTCCTACAGAATAATAATGGTTTAGAATAAGTGTCTTCTATCATGAAACATCTCATGCTCTGACTCAAGCTTCCTTTCAGTGCTGTGGATAAAGGCTCACTCTAGTAAMTGTATTCAGGAACAGAATTGTTCCTCAGACGTTCTGTGCACAATTATTACAACTTTTGAAAGTTCACCTAATCGGTTTTCTTGACAAATAACAAAAGCATGACAGGCTCAAACTGTCTACTATTTAAAAAGACAAATTCACATCTACATGGTCAAACCTCAAGCTTTCCCTTTAATACCCCTTCAGCTTTCCTGGCTTGCAAGGGATTCTCTACATTGGCTCAGGGGACCACTGGAGTTTTAAAGCACACAACCCCTATGTGACCAAGCTGTGTTTCTCTGACAGCACSCTGCAGAGGAGGAACAAGGTACAATGCCCAGCAATGCCCCCACTGCACCTGGAGAGGAGGAGACGCTCCCACTGCTGCCCCACACAGCTCCCCTCAGGCAAAGTGAGTCCAGTTCGAGTCTCAGACATTTCAAAAAGCCTCCTGCAAAGTCATCTGAAATGTGAACAGTCAACACCTGAAGCAGGACAGACCATTATCAGSTGCTGGATCACAAGAGTCAGCAGCATTTACACGGCGCTTAAGGAAGATCCGTTGGTGTTCRGCCAAATTCCGTACTGGAAACAAAGTATTTGTTCATGCCAAAAGCACTGCTAACCAGCTGGCAACCCAAAGTCCCTTCTGGTATCCCAAATGCAGTGCAGTATTCCCAAGTGTTAAGAAAAGTGAGTGATGCTCATGCTATGCTTTTTTTTTTTCTTTCAGGTGAAGTTTTATTGCTTATGAAGATAGTTTATAATACATTCCATTAAAAAGAAAARGCTAGAAAAATCTTCTCCTGTTATTAATATAATATAAAGTGGCCACCACTTATACACATACACCAACATGGCTTTCTGCAGTGTGGGACTGGAGTTGACACTTGCCACAGAAATTCTAAGTATATTGAGAAGAATATTCCTTCCCACTATGCAGTCACTGAGAAAGCTRAAGCTTCACTGGTGGCAATGACACGTGAGTGACCATGAACTTGCCACGCTCGCAGGAACTCTATTTTTTATTTCACTGGTAAGGAATAGGGAGCATGAATGGAAACTACTCAGAGAGAATATCAGAGTTGTTTTGAAACCTCACAAACATATCAAATTTTAACGAGTTTCTCTAGTTTAATAGTCTGGAATTTTGTAGAGTTTTTGTAAAATCCAGGCTCCAGAAATCTTGCATGGCACAACTTGGCAATTTTCTCAGTGTAACAGCAAATTGCTATTACCATTTTAAATTAATGTCACAGTTCAGAACTTAAAACAAAGAAACAAACAATACTGGCTCAGTTACATAYAAATAGAAGTTGAAAACAAAGGAAAAACAGCCTGCCTAATTTATTCTGAAGCTGAGGTTTGAACTATAACACTAGAATTGGTACGAAAGAATTACATAAAACTCTGTCCAAGCCACTGTTAAGATAAGTTTCTAAAACTTTTTTCCTATCCTGTATTGCATACAATATATGATACATATCTTTAAATAACAACCAAAAAACCCCACAAACAAACAAGCAAAACCCCAACAAAATCTGTCATGTGCACTTGAAGGAGATTACAGTTTGTGCTAATTACAAAACTGAAAATAAGAATGCATCTCCAGAAGCAGGAGTATCATTAGGTAACTGATACCACCATAAGGAATGAATACCTCCTTACTCATGCCTGGYATAAAAAGTCATTTGTTATTCCTACCTGCTTTACACAATCACACCAAGGAATCCTTTTATTAATTCAAGTAAACAGTTACTGGTTCTTGTTACTGTACAACTGGATTGACTTYTCCAGCATTGTCTTGTTAAAAAAATCAGTTTTCACAGCATGTTTGATACCTGCTGCTGTTCCACTTCCTTGACTACTTCAAAATGAAACCACAGATGTATTTCAAACCTGGGATTATGTCAAATGCATTCCTCTAGGATTTATCTAGTAATTAATTTCTAAGTCAGTAATTTCAACCTCAGTATGTTGGACTAAACACTGTTTTGAGTAGCTCATGCCAGTAGTGGAGACTACCAAAAACTGCAGGCTATTTGGGAAAGAACATTACATTTAAATGAATACTTTTACAGAGGCACCACAGTTTGACAGCCTTCTTCCACAGTTTGTTATTTCAGGAATATTTGAGGCCCAGAAGCGTCATAGTGTGCTTGAGTGCTGTTTCCTCTACAAATCTTACATTCACATGGTCTTCTTTTTCATATGGATGCACACCTAGAAAAACATGGTGAAGAATTATTTACAAAATCATACATGCTCCTGTACATTTAGAGTCCTGCAGTCTGTTAAATATCTTCATCTACAATACCAAAACACAAGGAGTAATAGAACTGTGTTTTCATGTTCCCAAAATACCTACAGCTTTCAGTCCTTTGGATGGTCAGTCATAGCAAAAACTGTCCTATCAGTGGGATGCAAGTAAATTATATCCCACACAGAGGGACCTCCAAACCAATTCTACCCTGGAAATCCAAACCCAGARTGAAACACAGTGGCTGTGTAAGTGTTAGTGCATGAAATGGCCCAGGGTATATGCTCATATAATGCCACATGGTTTAAATCTTTTTCCTCCCAAAATGAGATGATACCCACACACAGAGAATCTTGGCCCCTGACACCTTCCATCAGCAGAAAGACAAACAAACCTATATGTTCAGAATCACTGGAGTTTTAGTAACTCAGTTATGTCAGTACAGGCAGGATGCATCTGAGTGAACATCAAAGRGTAATGATCACTGATCTTCCAAAGYTSAGAATTAACATTACCTTGATTCTCTATCTCTGCCAACATATTAGTCAGGTAGTTCAGTGGCAAAAACTCCACAGGGACTGAGAGTCTCTCAGGGAGAGGTCTGCTGCACTGTAAAGGAGAATATTTCAGGTTAGTTCACAAAGACACACAGTACCACAGTTCGGTGTTTCTTTTGTGTTACAGTCTACAGAAAGCTCAGGAATCTCAACACTGTCAAAGCATAAGATTTAAAAACATGGCCTCTGTGCTCTTACCTGACTGTTTCCCAGCTTCTCGAGCAAAAGTTTCACRTATTTCCGTGCAATTATGTTTGCATTTATTGGATGATTCCAGTACTGAYGAACCTTTTGACCAAGAGCCTAGTAAGCAAGAAACAAACCCCAAAAACCTGAGAACATAAACACGGGACAGTGGAAACWTACAGAAAGGGAGAAAAAACCTGACACAAAATCCACACTGTAATGCAGATGTGCTTTGCTTCCAGACCCTGATGAGAGGCTAAGAGGTTATCATGTTTAGCCATGGAGCCATCCTTTCACAGCCAGTAACCAAGATATCACAATATGCTCTCAGATTGTGGGAAATCAGAATCTTGTTGCTCAGTCCTCACCTCAATCCATCTGTCTCRGTGCCTTCACCCACTTGGCTTGTGTTCTTATATATAAATTGAGGTTTAACATGACCATTAATTCTTTACTGTGAGTGATTTGAATCTATTCTTCCCCCAAGGAATAATGTACATGCCCATTCCTCAAGGCTCCTTCAGGACAGGGCTTCTCTCAGGCTCAGTCTAAGGAACCTTAAACAACCAGAAGAACACTGGCAAGATACTGGGAAGGGAAGTTTGGATCCCTTTATTCAGGTCATCGTCCTGGAAACTGATAACACTGACTCTCATTCCCAGAGGCAAAAAGAGATTCAAAACCAGGTTTGCCAAGGCTTCCAATCCTAACCAATAAGCAAAAGAATGGGAACACACTGTGAAATTAGCTCCACCTTCTGCTCTCCTTCCTGTCTAGATCTTCCTCTGCCCCTTCCCTTCAGCTGTACTGCAATGCAGACAGCTGTTCATTTTAGTAAATGTTTTACAGTTTAATGGTACTTAAATCCTTGTTTCTGATGGAACTGAAGTCATCGACTGCATCTAACCTGCTCAAAATAGTCCGAGTCACCCAAAAGTGACCTTTCTAGCAAACAGACTATTCCCAGCATTTTTTCCCAAAGCTGTAAATAGACACAATAAAGCACTGAGTCTACTGTGCATAGCTAGCAATAGTTGTTCCCCAAATCTCTCCCAGCCCAGCCCTTCACGTCAGAGCGTGGTTGGAATGGAGTTCCCCACCCACCAGAGCTGGCAGTTCAGGGGGCCCATGCTGACCCCGGCTTACCAGCCCTGGCCCAAAACAAGACACAGAGGACAAAGAACATCCTGTGGAGTTCTCCTCCTCTACCCCTTCTCAAAACTGCTGCCAAATAAAGAAGCCTTTGTTGGAGGAAAACCCAAGAGGCACTTCTGTCCATTTGAACTATAAGTGACAGCACATAACGAGCAAACAATGGGCAACTTATGTGGAGAAAAGCCCGTTCTGCAGTGAGGCATTCCCCGAGGGGGATCCCTGGTCTTCCTCTGCTCCCTCACATCTTGTGCTTGCCCTGGAGTCCTGTGCTGTGCACTAAGAGCAAAAGGGAAGAAGTGCAGCTCCCATTCTGCTGGAGCTTTTTATGAAGGATCAGTAATCAGCTCTAGCCTGTGGCTACACAAGTCACTTTCTCAGTGAGGTTTAGCTGAGGGGAGCTCTTGTCATTCATCTCTGTCAAAGAGCTGTGGTACAATAGGATTTTACATCTTTTACYGTACCAGCTTCTGAACACATTTTTTTAAGTGTATAGAACCAAACACCGAGGTCACAAGTGAGAAACACTGTGGATGCTAAAAACCACACACAACACCCCTATAAACCCTCTTTAAACCCAACTAAACTCTCATTGCTTTATGCAGGTGAGTACTCAGCAGAAAAGTGTCACTCTTGTTGACTCCTGTAAGGTACTGGAGACTCTGTAAAATACTATGGACAAACATATGATGTAAGTTATCAGGTGTCCTACAGGCTATGGAGAAATAGTGTATGTTCTGGTTTTATTTGAATCAGGTTCTATCTGAATTAGAGCCAAATTTTTCATTGGTTTGACCCTATCCACAAGGAAKAATTTCCTATCAATTCCAAAATCCAGGAAATTGCATCCCAAATCATCAGTTACCTCTGGAAGCCTCATCACAATGCTAAACTTCAGCTTTTCATTCTGTTCAGTGTCATCCAGATCTATGAGCAACAGGGGAAAAAAGCAAATCAAACAAACACTAATCACATAACAAACTTCCAACTTTCACTGAAGACATTCTGAATAAATACATTTCCTTAGTGAAATGAAAATTTCATTTTTAAATAAGGGCTATTATTTACATTATACTACATAAATAAGGGGCGTTATTTACATTCATACCATTTATACAAATATATATTTCTGTATTTTTGTGCATAACTTCACCATTTTATGTAACAATTTATATGGTRGTTCAAATGTACTTTGACTAAGTGCAACTCCCCAAGTTTGTATTTTCACTTGTCAAGACCAGGCACAGATTGATACAGTACATTCTGATGTCCCTTTTCTTGGACACTGGAGAAATAGCACATCCGGGCACAGCTGGCTCATGTTCAGCCACCACTGAGCAGCACTCCCTGATCCTTTTCTCCTAGGCAGATTTGCAGCCATTCTGCTCCAGGCTCTAGCCCTGCCTGGGGTTGTTGTGACCCAAGGGCAGGAACCACCATTTGGCCCTGCTGAACCTCACACAATTGGCCTCRGCCCATCAATCCTGTCCAGATCCCTCTGCAG